TGGACAACAAAGATCACGTTCCTCTATACTTAACTGTTGATCTGCTCATCCTATTAGGACATCAGGTAAAGAAAGTTCCCTTTCAAGCAACTTACCGAACAGAAACTGGTTCAAAAAGTAAAGTTTCATCTTGAGAACCATGAATCATGCAAGTAACATGCCAATGGCATGGTTGATAAGCCAATCTTACGCAAAGGCCAGATATCAAGTGAACTACAAAGATGCTAGACACGTCAATGGCAAATCCATTAGCATTTCACATAACACAGGGGCAACTGCCTTCAATCATAATGCATTCAAGAGTCGATAAGGACAAAAAACAACAACAAAGCAGCACAAACCTAAAGAAGAATGCACCTGAATTGTGAGGTGAAACCACAACGATAAGTGTGATACAGTCACCAGGCTGAACGACATGCTTTAAAGCCCACACAAGTGCTGTCTTTGGGATTTCTTTTGAAGACTTAACGGCGACCACAATGTTCTTAGGTGCATCGAGGCCCTTATCAGTCTTCCCCTGCTTTGGCTTCTGGCTGGTGCTCATCTCTGCGCCAAGAACTGACCAAGAGACCTTCACAACCAAGCCATGGCTTCCATACCCAGCTAAAACAACTAGGCCTACTTGTTTGAAGGCCAACAGAAGAAGAAGAAGAAGACAGAAGCAGGACAATAAGGCAGGCAAGTGGTTCCCATACACACTATTACAACGAGACGGCTGGGGTAATGTGGATATCAAGCATCTGAACGCACAACTATTCCTGTTAGTAGCGTTTAAAGAAATCACAAACAAACAAACAAAGAAAGAAGGAAAGGCGCTTCTGACCTGCCCAGATGAAATGAAATGCAACCACTCCAACCAGATCGAAAAAAGACAACTTTTCCCCTTTCTTCTTCACCTCTTCTCTTTAATCCAGTTCTCTGCTCTTCCTTGATGTCAGCTGTATTTTAACCCCTGTTTTTGGATCTTTTAGGCTCCGGCCCTGCTCTGCTGTGACCTCTAGTTCGCAGATGGGAACTTTTCTAGGAGAAAGGAGAAGACATAATAGAAGCATATACTAAAACACTGTTGGAAAGGATGAGCACGCTTCATTTGCGTGGAAATCGATGTCGAGAAGTAGGTGCTGTTGCCGTGTACGGTGACAAGCTCCAGTCCTCGAGCCCTCAAACATCATCTCAACAACCGCCGATAAGCTTCTTCGAAACCCACAGTCGGGCGTCACTGCACCTCAGTCACTCAGTTGCGACGAGTTCGAAGCATTCATATCGCTTCTTCACCCAAACGGAGAAGAAATCCTACAGAAAACCCAAGAAACAACGGATCATTGCTCCAAACCGAGAGAAACGAGAAACAAATTCTTCGAAATATCTGTGAGCTCACAAGAATTTCCCAGAAAACTGCCTTTGTGCCTCAGGAGCCTCAAACTCCACAAACAAAACATGGTCTCACTACATTTATTCTTCTTTTATCTTCAGACCAAAAAGGAGAGAAAAGAAAAACACACACGCAACACCCAAGCAAAAGTGAACAGCGAAATCCAGGCGGAGAGCTGAAAAGGGCGCGAACTTTAAAGCCTCCACCCCGAGGTCGCTTGTCTGCCACACGCCTGCAACTCAAGAAAACTCCAAATGTGAAAACACCAAACCTAATCTCTCAAATCCAAGAAGAAGAAATGGGGAGAAAAAGGGAGATGCCAAAAACACGGGAGCTCGCGATCGGAAGAAGCGACCAAAAAAGCCCTCTCAAATCCTCCCAAGAACTCTTCAAATCGCCACTCTTATCATGGAACGGCTTCATGACATCATCACCACTGCAATCTTCTTTATATTACCAATCTACCTTTCCGTCCCGTGCTCGTTAGCGGGTGAACCACCCCTAGGAAATTCCACGGGTGGCGTCATCTTTGGGGGTCCTTCGTTCGGGGATAATTTTACGGGTGTTCCACAAGCCCTCCGCAGACAGAGTGTGTCAGCCGAGGAAAGTCTCACGGTTGACGTCCTCTCGGTGATTCCGAATCCTATCAGATCAAGTGGCCGCCGTTAGCCAGAGCTGAGTCGGCCCGAAAGGCCGTCAGGGGCGACTCATATCTCGAGAACGCCTGGCTATCGGGGCCCACGGAAGGTGGTCCCCACATGAGACGCAGGCAAGCGGGAGGAGGCGGCGGGCCCCTGACAATTTTCCCGCGTTCGTGGCCCAGCCCGCAGGCTACGAGAACCTCCCCGATAATAGATGCCACGAGGTGGGGCCCCTTTTCACGACCTTTCCGTTAGTTCATCATCGCCATCGGACGGTTCTCGGAAGGCGATGGTACATGTGACTAGGAATGGCTCACTCGATTCACATTTCACATCAAAATCTACTCGCATATCCAACCGCTGCCGTCCGTACCGTGTACCTGGTGGTGGGCCCCTGTCAGCCACTGAGTGTAACAAAAGCTGGGCCCGTGATTCGATCGAGATGTGCTTATCCCGGAAGCGAATGGCTGGGAGATGGGATCGCCAATGCACGGATCACGAGCAAATATCGGCATCATCATGTCTCCCGGCACGGACGACAGCTTTTGCTTCGATTCCGAGACCACCGCCGACGACGTCGTGTAGGTACTGCTTCCCGCTTTAAGAGTCGGGTGTTCCGTGGGATGGGCTTCTCTCCGGGCGGTTCTGCGTTCGAAAAGACCTTACCCAGATGGCCCCCAGGCCGTGGGCCCACGAAAAGCTTCGACAGCGTCACGGGCACGGCCGGTTCGAACTCGGGGCTACAACCGCAAATCAGTAGCCGTATCGTGGGCTTCTCTACGAGCGGCTTTTCATTCCAAAGGAACTCACCACGTGCAACCCTCGTGGTGGGGTCCCTGACACCATGGACCAGAAACTCCAATAAATCCTTGGCCTGGGTCTCGTGGTCTTCTGACAGACCAAAAACCTTCCTCAAAACCACAGCCAAACTCTTGAGGTCGTGCAAGAGGATTTGAAGCAGAGTCAAGTGGATGAGGCTGCAGAGCTCATTCCAGAAACAACCATGAGTGAATGCTGCATCAGACTTCTGGATTCAGAGTTCTGAGTTTTAGGTTGCAGCTGTTTCTTACATCTCTCCATTCATCAGTTTGAGAGTGTAAAGTGATCTTGAGGCTCCTTAAGAACTTTGCATCCTGGCATATCTTGCAGTCCCTGAGTTGCCTGTGCTCCACAGTGCAAATGCATGCATCAACTAATGGATTCATGTATAATAGTTATGATACTAATGCAGCAAGTAAGACTGTGATCTAGGATCCCAGGAAAAGCTGTAGCCAGAAGAAACTGTTAAATGTATGATTGAGCTTCAATAGATGATTGGTTACATCTAGTCAAACAGACAGAAACCAGAAGCACTCAGTGTAAGTTTGTCCACCAAAAAGTTGAAATGAAGGATATGAAATGAAGCTGAAGGTACCATATGACACTGAAAAGCTATTGACTGAGATATTTACTCTATGGTTCTGTCTGCAACTCTTTTCAGATAAGCTTCAAAGACTGATTGGTATCATCAGATTAACCAAAAAGGAAACCAAGAGTATCCAGTGTAAATTTCTCCACAAATTAGTTGAAGATATCGAAAATTTCTCCACAACTTTTTCTTGTCTGGCTCTGTTGGACAAAGTGACTAATGTATGATTGAGCTTCAAGTAATGATCAGGAAAGCAGGAAGCATTCACTGTAAATTTCTCCACCAATGAGTTGAAGTAAAGAATGTCAAGGCACACTAATGGCACTGCAAGTCTCTTGATTGAAGCATCTGCTACATGCTACTGTCTGCATCTATTGTCAGAAACAACTAACCTTTTCTTGAACAAAACAACTAATGTATGATTGAGCTTCAAGGGATCACTGGTTTCATCTATTGGTCAAGTATCCTGGTTCAGTCTTCATAGTCTCCAGGCCTGTAAAAAAATGTAATGATCAGTTCTAGGTCTTAAAAGACCTAGTCTCTCAAAGGTACCAATTGAGGGGCAGGCATTGAACTCCATAATTGAGGGCCATAAATTTTCCTGGTCTGCCAAACAGTTCACTGTACTTTGAATTCAGAGAACAAATACAGTAGCAAAAGAAGACTGATAAACTGTTAATATCTCTGTAGCTGCAGGTTAAAGTCTGTCTTCTTCAGAGCTAGGATTGCTTTGCAGAGGTTCTAAATTTGTCATAAGATTGCAGTGAAAGTCCATGAATTTTAGGTCCTCAATTTTTCTGAAGGAACTCTGTAAAATTGCATTATATTCTCATTTCTGATTACTTGGGCTTCATTTCCAAATTTTCAACCATCTTCGTCTGGACACTGAGCAATGACAAAGAAGCCAAAAACAAAAGATTGAAGAGTGGTTACAATATGATAAAAGATGATAAAACATGTTTTCAAAAGGAAATTTCCTTTTATATTCAAAATGAAACATAATTTATTTTCTCACACACAAAACAAAAAGTACATCTGGCCTTTTGATTAAGTAACAACAAACAAAAAGCTACAAATAAATTATCCTGGTATAGTGAAGTGAAGATCATTTATTATGTAAAAAGAATAATATAATTCTATCATTCAGATTGAAATTTGTAACATGCACTGAGGTGAAAAATTAAAGATTAAGTTCAAAAATAAAAATATTGAGGCATATAACTCAATCTTTCGTGCAGAATATCATCGAGAAACATATCAATATATAATTGAGTCTTGATTCTCCTGCAAACACAATTGTGAAAAGTCATTCAAGATATACTACAGACAAGTGATGGGACAAGAATGTTTACCTATGTCATCATCCGTGGACAATATCATGCAATACAACTACAAAACTTGTTTGGGAACATATGAGCTTCATGACACCATGACTTCACAGCACAAACGTCAAACCAACCCAGAATTATCCTAAATCATAAATTTACTAGATGTATACAGCTATAATATATATATATATATATATATATATATATATATATATATATATATATATATATATATATATAATGCAGTAATATATTGCTCAAGGTGCAAAATTTGATAAATCATAATTATTGATTCAAGGACATCAAGTCATAAGCAAATGAATCAAAATAGGCATCTCCTAGACTCAGGAGAGCGAGGAAGAAAACAAGAAAGAGAAGGAAAAGGAAAGAGAGTTGGAATTCTACTCTCTAGTCTCTACTTGTTGGCCCATGCTACCGAATCAATCTCAGCTTGAGCACTTCTATACAGCTCCAACCTCTTCGCAAGGGCAGTTCTACGTTCCATTATTGCTGGGTCTTCGTCCAACAACTTTCCCAGCTGCTTCCCCTGCAAACAAATTTCAAGAAATATAAGGAGAGAGGGGTCTTTTGCAACGAAATCAATCACACACCCTAAAGATCAAACTATGCATTTCCTTGATGGAAAGACTAGATCACCATCAAGTATAAACAAAGAATCATGGTTTAAAAAACTGCCCAGATTGGTATGAACTGGGCAGTAAATAGAGAAGACCATTGATGAGTCCATTTTGGACGGTTCGGTCCCAATCGGGGTTTTATTAAAAATCTCTCTCTCTCTCTCTCTCTCTCTCTCTAGCTCCTTAAGATAACAAAACACGTTCCATAACCTGCCTACCATCGCTTCTCCTCCTCTTCCTTTCCCCTTCTTACCATGGCATGTACCAGTCTACTGTGTCGATACACTGAAATAAACTGCACCTATACTGGTCCAGCCAGAGACCAGTATGGATCCGGCATACGAGATTTAGAACCACACAAAGAATTATATGATAAAAGGAACAATGATACTAACACAAGAAGAAACTATATAAACTAGCTCCCTTCTGAAATCCCACTTCAGGTGGTTTCCATAAACTTTTTTGTCGTAGAAGACCCTACATGAGTTCATATAATACAGGTGGAATTCTGGGAGCTCATATTTCAGATAAACCAACTGCTGCAAAAGAGTAACTCTCGAGCTTAGTAGAAACAAAAAAACTATCATGAGACAATGTTTTCAAAGAATCAATACCAAACTTAAAGCTGCAATTGACAAACGACATAATTTTGAGACAGTAAAAGAATTGATAAAAGATTTGTCTCAAGTAACCACCTAACCATTAAAAATTAGAGTAGATACATAATGCTATAAAGAGGGGGCATAATTTAATAAAGAACTCAGAGGAAAACGTCATTGCCTCTTCGAGGAAACAATCAGGTCTTGGTCAGCTTTAAAGTCACAAGAATATACAACAGATAGGTTGAAATAAGACAAGAGACCACAAGTAGATTAAAGAGTCTGCAAACTCTTACCTCTCTTTTTCCCAAATCAGTAAAGAAATGATCGAGCAAGGAGCGCTTGGCCTCACGTACTTGACAGTAAACAATGGATTTGGGTATGGAGTTCCGCAAGCTTGCACATACCATATTGACATAAGCCAAGACAGTAGTTCCTATCAAAACAATAGGATAAGAAAATGCTGCATATTTTTTTGTAAAGTTCATCTTTGCATTTTCAAGTCAAAAAATAAATCTACGAGGAAAAAACGGATCATAGTTTTAGAAGAAGCATCATATGCAATTTCTTATAACGGTTCAAACTACAAACTGACTAAAGTATCGGAAATCAGATAAGCCTTCGGCTAATCAGTAACCAAGTTGTGACTCCACAGGAAATAAATTCTGGAAACTCAACAAAAATGTATATAACACTATTCAAGTCCAAATATTACCACTACTAACGATGACAAGATAATGAAAAATACCAGTTCTTATAAAATGTTCACCAAAAAAATAAGAACTCACCTACACGTCTAAGGTAAGAGTCATTATATCTATCAAATAAAGAATGCGTTGGATTTCCGCCTTTCTCTACATCCTGGGGAAGCTTCCGAAAGAAATCGACAGTCAGATAACTGCATTCCATATCTACCAGCTTTAGGGTCGCTTTCTTGCTTTCTTCCCTCATACGCTCCAAAGATTCAACAGCAGCATTCCCAACCTCAACTCTCAAAGTAGGGTATTGCTTTAGTTCCTGAAGATAACTATAATCATTTTCTGATTTACTGAAATAAAATCTAAAAGAAATATTAGATAACTTGTACACAATGCAATCGAGTCATGTGAGAACTTATTTTGAGTATATTACTACCTCGAAAGGATCATAGTAAGAATTCTATCCAAATTGTTGTACTGGTCATGACAATCCTAATGTAGCTAAAAGAAACCATAATCACGTCCCCACCACATATATATGCACATGACATGAAGTATGATATAATAGTCATTCTATTATGAACCTTCGACTAATATATGCAAAGCTGCAGGTCTTCCCTTTTTTGTTTAATGGCAGATGTTGTAAAAAAAATCAACACGCATACACACACAAAAATCAATATTATACCTTACACCAGGAGCAAGATAATGGAAGCATGAAGTAATTTTACTCTATCATCTAGGATAACATACACTCTGTTATTGTGAGTTATCAATAATGTTGAATATAATCTTTTTCAATAGGAAAGCCAAATTCAAATGCTATTGAGCAAATGGAGCAGATTTTTATTTCTATGAAAAAGAATGATGAGAAAGAAAAACACAAGCCACCATGTTGAAGAAAAAAAAAGTTGTCCAGATAAAAATCATAAAGTAAACTGCAAGCTGAGCAAGTAGAACCTACGTGTGTCTCATTGATAGCCTTATGGACCAGGTCCTTTAATATAGCATGAACCTGGAATTAAGTAAACAATATCAATTTATTAGTATGAATAGAGTAGAGCATACAAAAAATAAAATAGAACATCCATGTTTTCAAAGGTAATAAGGAATAGCAAATGATACATGGATGTGACACTAAACTGCCAACATAATAAGCCAAATTGCAGTAATCAGACTTGTTCAAGAAATCCAGTTCCTGGTCTATAATTTGAAAAATTAATCCAGCTTAGCTGTGAGAATAACAAAAAAAAAAGAAGAAAGGGACCAGACAATTTGTAGAATTTATGATGTAGTACTTGACATCTTTACCACAAATTAACCCATCAAATATTGTGCGCAGCTGGAAGCTATTATAATTTATAATTATGTTTTTAACATTAATCAAACATTCATCACTTGGCTTTTTAAGATTGTGAGGCAGACACATTACCCGAAAGGAATAGATGATGTAAAAATAAGAGAAAATGAAATTAATGACCAAAATAAAATCTAGAAAATAAATAACCAATCAGTAGTTACAATCATAAAGACGCCACTATTAATTGAATAGGTAAAACATCAAGTGTAAAGAAATCAGGACCTCTAAAATATCCCATAAGATATAACTAGAAATGAAAGTACCGAAGGGAATCATTATTAATGGGGATGTTTGCATGAGTACTAATGTTCCTTTATTGTCAGATCACTTTGCTACACAATTAAGGTTAATTCTTTATGACCAGAGTGTCAAGAGTCACAAAACAGTTTATTTGTTTACGACAAAGCTACTTATGTTATCCTTCACTATAGCACATTGGTAAGAGATACGAACTAGGCCTCCCTTTTCTGAAATAAAATTTCTAAGCTAATCAAAATAAATGATGAGCCTTGGAGAAGGGCCTCACATTAATACATAAAAAACAATAACATGAAAAATGTATATAACATGACTCATCAATTCCCACAAGATACAAGTTGTGGATGTGGTGTGTGGAGAAGGTGGCCCAAACCTCCTCTCTCCACATGCCACATGGCTCATGACTTTGAACAACAGTCATGTTAGGCAGCCCTGCTCATATAATCAAAGGCTTTACTGATTAATTTCTATCATTCAATATTAAAGTTCAATCTGCAAAAATGATGCATCTTACCCAATAAGCACAACATATAACATAAGTGTAAATAAAGCAAATCAGTCAAACAAGGGCACTGAACAATTTCAGCAGTGCAGAGGATCAGAAAAATAGATGCGGAATTCTCAGTTGGGTGCATACTGAATCAACAGCTGACTCTGCAGGGCCTCTTATTGAGACTACAGAAGATTCAATAAGGCGACGATATCCTTGTTCAGGAGCTATCAAGTGAGGCTGATATCCATCAGCTTCAGTAACAGTTTTTCTTACATTCTCCATTGATAGATGCTTGTCAAACTGTAACCTTTTTAGAGCTGCAGGGAGTTGACTGTCAAAAACATTGTAAATCTTCTCACCACCAGGACGCCTGCAAAAAACAAGATAGTCACATTAAATATCCATGAACCCCATCAATCATGAGTTTCTAATGCACAGAAAGTAGAGTTGTCCAGACAATACATATCATCAGTACAGAACGCATAGCTGCTTTATTTTGCTTGTTTAAAGTATGCAGTAAACATAAACATAGCCTAAACACACTATATGTAGCTACTTATGATCTGATCCAATTATTACCTTCACAAGAGATAACAACACATCTGTGTGTGACAGTTATAACAACCGCCTAAAAATCTGATAAGAGCAGCTGATTTTGTTCCCAATCAATGACCACTGGCTTCAAATCTCTAACATGTTTAACAGAGAAGTTGAAGATATCATAAGCACTGATATCTTCCAACCTGATCACTTAGATAAACATGTTGAGAAATGTTTTATTGTGGATCTGCTTTGCAGTCACCCAATGAACAGACTAGCCAAGTTTTGATCTGAAAGAAATTACAATTGAAATTTGTATAGTTTCATCTTAGATCTTCATGAAAAGCGAAAATTATTGACATCAATGTGTACATGGAAATTCTGATAACAACTCAGATTCCAAAGAGGATGAGGAGTGAAATATCTTATTCTTGTGAAAGATACATGTTATAAATATTGAATCATTAGTCTAAAGTAATGCAGTCAAATCAAACGGAAAAGCAGAATATAGTGATAAATATGATCGATACTAATAATTCTATACGTCTATGACACATACATGCCATCAAGGTGTTCCTTGTAATTTTGATCAAAAACACGGCAAATTTCCATAATTGCGTACAACTTTCCCTGCAAATAATAGGAAAAAATCATGGTTTAAAACTTGACTATCATTGTAATGCAAATTAGAAACAGACAATAAGATAACAAAGATAAATACAGTAATGAAGAAAGGAAGCCATGAGAAATTGACATGGCAAACCAATTAAAACTACAGATGGTATAGAACAGAACTCAATATGGTTTGCCTCTTTTACTATATCTTTTACTATAAGCATTTAGTATGCCAATATCTAAGAAATTCAGCTTGTTAAAAGCAATAAAATACATGTAGCATATTCATGCTCATGAAAGTTAATGATTGTAACAAGTACACTTAAGCAAAAATGATGACAACTAAGGGCAGCTAACGAGGTGGTTTCACCAAGGGAAAAACTCTTTATCTAGGAAATTTAAGCAAAAAATTGGATTACTATGCTCGATATTATTTGTCAAGCAACTGTCACTGCATCTCCAGATTCTAGTGACACCTGGATCATGAAGTATAAGCCTAATTAGCCACTGAGAGGAACAATAATTTAATGAAGCCATAAAATATCCCTGTAAAAAGTAATCAAACATAGAAAACATATTTCCCTATACTCTGAGCAGTATTAGCAAGTGTAGAGTAACATTAGATGATACTTACTCCTGTATCTGCAGCAATAGGTTTCCCGAGACGGCTTAGCTCCATTTCAAGTTCAGTTATAGTTTTACTTATCAGAGATTGAATGCCTGGAATTCGGGACTTGATTACTTGTTCCAAATGCTGCAGAGAAACTTTTACTGAAGACTGCATTATACTCAACCAAACAGCAAGAATACCATTCATGTCCTGTCACAGGACATGTAAAGGAAGAGAACATACAACTGTCATACCTTTGACATCATTTTAGCCAGATGCTCTGAACCCATCCTATTTACAAGATGCTTGTATTCTGGTGTATTTGCAAAATACTCACGCTCTCTATTTCTGGCAGCAATCATGTCGACATTCTTGTTAATGTCAGCTTGGGAACGGTTAACAACACCAATCCATGGAAATTGTAGCTTGTATGATTTTCCTTCTAATATCTAGAAAAACCAACAATATTTAGTGAACAAAAAAAGATACTTGCAAAACAATAATCAAATGTATACTCAAGTGTGAGATAATTTTTGAAGAAGTGGAACAGAAACAACTGATAAGTTCAAAGATATCAAAGTAGTTGTGTGATATATTTTATTGAATTTTTAGATATTATATATATATATATATATATATATATATATATATATACATATATATATATATATATATATATTATATATATATATATATATATACATTTATATATAT